GGGGCGTGTTTGTTTTGGTGATTTCAAATATCAACATTGGCTACCAGAAATCACTTACTCTGCCTTTAATCTGTCAGTGGGCTCAGAAAATTTTTTTATTGTTTCCCCTTGAAATTAGTTTATTTTTCTTGTTTTAAGCAAAATAAATAAATAAATCACTTAAGGGGATAGTTCACCCAAAAATTAATATTACCCCATGATTTGCTCACCCTCAAGCCATCCTAGGTGTATATGACTTTCTTATACAATCTGAGTAATAGAAAAAATATCCTGGCTATTCCAAGTTTTATAATGATTTTGATTTTGATTTTGAAGCCCAAAAAAGTGTATTCATCCATCATATAAAGTGCTCCACATGGCTCAATTATACGAAGCTACGAGAATACTTTTTGTGCGCAAAAGAAAAAAAAGTTCACGTTCACAAGAGAGTGGCATTCCAGCTTATGACGTGGGACGTAGGTGTAGTGTAAGCTCTGGAGAGAATATGCTAGTCTCGCAAGAACCAAGTTTGCTTACTGCAAACAAATGAAGAAGTGAATTGTTTTAGCCATACTCTACATTTTATTAGTCTTAAAATGGTGTGTTCGTGTGTATATCTGGGATGCTTCAACATAGCTAAAGTCGCACTCGTCACTTCTCACCGGAGCTTACGCTACACCTACGTCATACTTTGGAATGCCACTATCTAGTGAACACACGTACAACAGTTAGCAGAAGCTAGAGATTACGGTTTACACAAACGCATCGCTTCACTTCAGAAGGTCTTTATTAACCCCCCGGAGCTATATGGAGCACTTTTTATAATAAATGGATGCACTTTTTTGGGCTTCAAAATCTTGACCCCCATTTACTGCCATTATAAAGCTTGGAAGAGCCAGGATTTTTTTTTTTTAAATATAACTCTGATTGCATTCGTCTGAAAGAAGAAACTTTTAGTTTTATCCAGCTGTATTTACTCAGTGCAACTTATAACATCCAGTGGGCTCAGAAAATTTTTTTATTGTTTCCCCTTGAAATTAGTTTATTTTTCTTGTTTTAAGCAAAATAAATAAATAAATCACTTAAGGGGATAGTTCACCCAAAAATTAATATTACCCCATGATTTGCTCACCCTCAAGCCATCCTAGGTGTATATGACTTTCTTATACAATCTGAGTAATAGAAAAAATATCCTGGCTATTCCAAGTTTTATAATGATTTTGATTTTGATTTTGAAGCCCAAAAAAGTGTATTCATCCATCATATAAAGTGCTCCACATGGCTCAATTATACGAAGCTACGAGAATACTTTTTGTGCGCAAAAGAAAAAAAATAACAACTTTATTCAACAATTCGTCTCCTCCGCATCACCCTGGTGCCATTTTGGAGAATATCCGCTGGACGTAAAACAACGTATGCTGTTAGTG